GTATAGCAAAACCTTGTCTCTACAACAAAAAATACAAGTAAAAAAATATAAAAATTAGCCAGGCATAGTCGTGTGCACCTGTAGTCTCAGCTACTTGGGAGGCTGAGGCAGAAGGATCATCTGAGGTCAGGAGGATGAGGACGCAGTGAGCTGGATCTTGCCACTGCATTCCAGCTTGGCATAGAGTGAGATTCCCGCTTTTAAAAAAAAACCTTTTTTTGAGGAGGAAAGAATGTAAGATGAGAACTATGAAGATCAACTTGATGACAGCATTTCATGGAGTAGTAGAAGCAAATGTGAAGCACACAGAACTGAAACCCATGAGCACACAACTCTTGGGAGCCTTGCCATAAAGAAGAACAAAGCAATGGGGGTGGGTAGCTGGATGGATATGAGGTTCCTTTTTCTCTCTTTCTTTCTGGAAAAATTGTGCTGATGGAAAGGATCCAGTTGGGGGAACATTAATCATGCGAGATTGAGAGAGAGAAAGAGAGAGAGAGTTAAATTGCTAGAGTTGTGTCCCTGAATCAGTGAGAAGGGTGGAGTCCAGGGCATCAGGCTGACCTCTGCCAGGAACACAGATAACTCAACCAGTTGGATATAATCAAGGTTTAGGAATTTAACATGCTACTTGCCTTAATAACTTTTTCTTACCTTTCTCCCACTAATTTTCCTCATACCCTTACTTCCTTGTCCGGTTTAAATTTCTGCACCATTGTTAGAATTAGTATTGTTTTGGTTATATCCAACTCTTCCTGTTCTTTAACTCATTACTGATTAGCTGACTAGTCGTACTGCCTGACCTTCTTTAAATGAATGACCAGTATCTTAAATTAACTTTACATTTTCCTAAGAAATAGGAGTACTAGAAGTGAACTAGAAAAATAAGGGGTAGTAGCTGGAGAGTGGGATGCTTGATTGTGAGATTGTGCAAGAATTACTGCTGCTGGCAAGGCCTAGGTTATGTCACAGGCACATGGGTCAGGCAGATCATCAAAACGGAGAGGGCAGGAGCTTCCCAGAGTATCAGGAAGGCCATGTGTGCAGACACCAAAATCACCACAAATACAACAGGCACAGAATCAAAAAGAATGATGAGAAACAAGGAGCTAAAATCCTGAATGGTGATGATGAGAACAGGTTGCAGTTGATGACATGAGATTCAAATTGTTAGAGAGCAGTAAAAGAGAACAAGAGGGCACCAACTCAAACTTCAGGAGTGGCAAATGAGAGCTGGGGTAAGAACAGAGCCACCATATGAGCAGGGTATGGGAGAAGCAATGTGTGCCAGGGAGAGCCAAGGATCCTTAAGTAAAAAGGTAAAGGTTGAGGAGACAGATGTTTTGCTAACACATTATTAACTCAATTCCAAGATGATGCAAGCAGAAAGATTCAAGTGTTAGGTGAAAGTGGACGATCAGGTCAGAAATGGAATGTATAGAGACATAAAGGCAGAGAGTCCAGGAGGCAAGGAACCTGGATGTTCTGGACTCCTTATGCTGATCATCATAAAGAGGTGTAAAGGGCAAAATGTATCCATTATTCTTGAGGGTCTCAAGGCAGATAGTAGAGGGGAGATTGTGTGCTGCGGGACAGGAAGGGGTACAAGTCTTGGGATTATAGTTAGTTCTGTGGACATCTCTCTACTTCTACCATGATGATGGGGACTCAAAGGAGGGGCCATCTTAGCTAAATGACAAGATCTAGGGGGTTCCTTCCTGTACTAGGAACACACAGAATTCCTTTCCCTCTATTTCTTTTTTTTCCAAGTATTTAAGCACTACATAAAATCTCTAAATTCTTACTCTTCTTTTCCCCTCTTCTTCAGTCAACTAGTCTATGATCTTGAGACTCCGAATCTTATTCATCTGCACAATGCCTGGTCTCAAAATGTGCAATAATCAAAAAAAGAAAGAGAAGAGTAGAGAGAGATCAGACTGATACCAGGATGGCTTCTTTAGGATACGGGTTAACATTATAATAGTGCACAGTTTTGCTTCATTTCATTAACATTTGATGAAACAATAACAATATTAACAAGAAAAAAACCTCCCAACAGCTTTAAACCTATAAAACCATCAAGTTTTAAATAATAACATTTGAGAAGCCAGAGTCAGACTTCTGACTCAAGTCTGACAGATAAAGAACAACCCAATGCTATAATGATATGTAAAAAACTGGGCATGAAAATTCAACTCCAGTAATAGAATAATTACCACACTAAGTCAAGAAAAAAAAATAGTGTTATTCCTACAGTGAAGCACTTCTTGATGTTAAGTATCATGTTTTTTACATAACTATAAAGCTGAACTCAGAGTAAGCCATGCTTATATCCCAAAGACTCCTATAATACATATCACACTTCCAGAATGGGCTAAGAAAAGTCCATTCAATATGCCATTAGCAAAGCACCACCATGAATTCTGTAATAAATCAGTACTGTAATTTGTATCTTTAAAAGTCTTTCACGCTCATTATTCTGCAATTCTTTTTAACAGCAAGAGTAAAAAAAATAAAAACTTTACTTTTGTTACATATTTCATTTGTTTGCCTTGAGTCAGAGTCTCACTCTGAAACATGATCATGGCTCACCACACTCTTGAACTCCTGGGCTCAAGCAATACTCCCTCCTCACCCTTCCCCCTTCCAAGTAGCCCGCACTACAGGTGCATGCCATCATGCCCAGTTAATTTTTCTGCTGTTTTCTTTTGTTTTGCTTGGTAGAGATGAGGTCTCACTTTGTTGCCAAGGCTGATCTTAAACTCCTGGGCTCAAGCAATCCTCCCGCCTCAGCTTCCCAAAGTGCTGGGATTACAGGCATGAACCACCACACCCAGACTGTTTTACATTTTAAAATATAAAATAATTGTTAAAACAAAACACAAATGACATAATTCTAGATTAAATAAAATCCATGGAATGATTCATCTTACTAACTTCCTATTTCTACACTTCCTTAACAAATGGAAAATCATTTAGCCTATTATTTTCCACCTGAAACATTCTGTGGCTAACCAGCAGCAAACAGCAAAATCATAATTATCCTAACACACCACTGAAGAGTTTCACTGAAAAAATTTAAGACAACCTATCAAGTCATAAATAGCGCATGGCCTACCAAAACAGTATATAATAAAATTACACTTAGCATTAGCTATATCTTTCTTAGTCCTCTCCAAACCCATTCCCTCTCTTCTCTATAACATTTTATGCTAATTGTGGTGTTTTATTTATTTTGGCTTGGCCTTATTTTATAGTATGTTTAGCCTTCTACTAAGCATTTCCTTTAGCACTTAAGACATAATAAGCTACTTTAAATTTGAGGAGCCAAAGGATTGAGAAAGATTCTAGAAAAATCTTTTTCTTTTTCCTACATGGAAGGAGAAAGTAAAAAGCACTTTTACTACATTTTTGTTTTTGTTTTGATTAAATTTAATACAAATTATTTATTATGAAGCACTATATTTTACCCTTCCTAGATCTTAGCCTCCTGATCTGTAAGATAGAAACAGCATACACCTCAGGCTGAAATATAATCCCATACTACAAGAGGCAGCCATAACTCAGGCATTTGATTACACAGTAGCATGATTATCTAAATAAGAAAAATGTATTATAACATTACTTTAATGAAATTTTATAAAGCTGACTTTGTTGACTAAAGTTTATAATTCTGAAATTAAATAGGTATAAAGGCAAAGTAGTTTTAATAGAGTTAGAATAAAAGATATATGTAATTCCAGTCCAAAAGTTTATTTGTATCAAACTATATAATGTTATTGATAAGAATTCTTTTGAACAGATAAAACTGAAATTCTTCCATATAATAAAGCTCTAAATATTATCAACACTTTTGGGTTGATGATTTAAATTCACTACTTATAATTAAAGAAAGTAGGTATATTTCTTCTTATTTCTCAATAAAAGTAACTTTCCATTTTATACCCACTCTTGAGTTACAATTCTGAAACATAATTAAATCTTGGTAGGGGAGAGGGAAGTTGTTAACATTTTTTGAAAAGACTATATAAAAGAGTACAAGGTGGGCTAGATGTGATAGCTCACACCTATAATCCCAGCACTCTGAGAGGCTGAGGCAGTAGGACTGCTTGAGCTCAGTTCAAAACTGGCCTGGGCAACATAGTGAGACCTCATCACTACAAAAAATTAAAAAAAAAAAAAAGTAGCCAGGTGTGGCGGCACGCATCTGTAGTCCCAGCTACATAAGAGGCTGAGGCAGAATGATCGCTTGAGCCCAGGAGGTCAAGGTTGTGGTGAGCTGTGATCATGCCACTGCACTCCAGCCTAAGCAACAGAGTGAGACTCTACCTCAAAAAAATAAAAAATAAAAAAAGATCACAGGTTGAAAATTAGTTAAACAAATTTAAAGAAAATTTACCTAAGGTTTTTTTTCTCTGTTAAACTATATCATTATTCTTTTCTTCACTGGTTCTCCAAAAATGATCAGTGACTACAAATTAAACTTTAAAATCTTCAACATGCTTACTCGGCTAGCAGCTGATAATTTACAGTATTCCCGGATAACAATAAGGTTCCTAAGTAAAACTTAGAGTCAAATTTGGTAACTTAGTGTCAAAGAAACACACTACTTTCTACCTTAAAAGATTTCAACAAAGGGGAACTGAAATAGAGATATGATAGCCACCAAGATATGACAGCAACACCTTAGCAACTGTAAATCATAAGCTTAAACATATGAGGAGTCCGTAGTACAGACTTTGTCTCTTGGTCGCTGAGCCCTTGTCCCTTAGTGGCCAATGTCTCAAAACAGAACAGGTCTTGCCAGATTTCAGTTCATTTCAGCCAGGGTCTTCGACAAACCTTTCCTCACAAAGGAAGTTCCCTTGCTACTCTTGAGATTTCACCTCTCACAACAGCGCAGGATACTAGTAAGGTTTATGTTTTTTCCTTTCAATTACCTGTCTTTTTTTAATTAAAAGGTTTTTTTATTCTGATGTAAATATGTAATATTTACTGACCATTTAGTCGCCTCTGGAGTGCTTCTTCTTCTAAGGTAATTATATAAATTTGCTCGTCCAGGTCTTCAAGAATCTAAATTTAAAGATAAAATGATTTGATAATTCAACATTATAAAAATAGTGCTTATGAGAATATTTAGGCTACTTGGTCTATTATTTTAGATAATGTGTTCATTCAAATTACTAAGAACCCAAAATAAAAATGCTCAAACTATTTTATTTACAAATTAGGTATAAATATTTTAGTATATAATTAAACACACCAAAAGTTAATTTCACAAAAATCTACATACATTTAAATGTAATATTTTTAAAGTTTAAAGGATTAAACTGAAGAACTCTGCCACTTTCTCAATAGCAAACAAATAAAAAAGCTAAATGCAATAAATATGTCTTTATGTTGAGCCAGTATTTTACAGCTAGAAGGAACAGATAAGCCAGTTCCATTTTTGTTTTTTCATTTATATAATGTTATTTTACATAATGTCTAAAACAAGAAATCCACAAACTATATCAGTAGCATGCAATACATTCCATTTATAATCATCTTTATGTACTAAAAGCAGTCCATGAATATTGAAGATTGGTATTATCAAAATAATCCAATAGAACTCTAAAAATGGTATCCTTACATATAAATCACTCAAAAATAGTTCAAAGGAAAAAAAATACTAATCAATTACCAATTGTATGGGATATTATTTACACTGTCTCCAAATTTGATAAAACCTAAAACTGGCTTATTTCCAGCTTTGTTAACATAGCTATCCTTCTGTGAGAGGATTCCTTCCATCTTCTTAGCTCTGGGGAAAATCTGAAAGGAACCTAGAGCTGACAACAATGTTCTGTATCATTCAAACCCAAATTACTTATTCTCAACAAAAAAAACAAATTCTGAGGAATTAGTGGACAAAAAGACAGGAACTCCCCCCCACACACACACCCCTTCAGCTGCCTGATAAGTTTATTTTCAGAAAACAAATCTTCAAATCATGTGATCCCTCTCAGACATCAAATTTATACAGATTTATACAAATTATTTGATGTGAATTTATCTAAAGCAATCCAGTAATTCCCAGCCTTTCAACAAAATCTATGATCACCTGTGACCTAGCACTGAACTAATCACTGGTACACCGTCTCGACCCTTGGGAAGCCTGGACTTGGCAGGCAAGAACAAATAAAGAATAAAATAAGAATAATTAATAATAAACAAATAAGTATGCAAACACATAATGAAAAACAATGACCACTTTATGAAAAATAGGAAGGGAAGAGGGAAAAGGGATATCTAAACAAGTCAGTCGGTGAGACTTCTCTAAGGAGATAACATTTAAGTTGAAATGAGCAGCCTGTGCTAGAATGTGTGATGGTCCTGAGGAGGGAAACAGAGTGGTATACTGAAAGGACCAATTGAATGCAGCAAATCAGGGAGAATAATCCTAGATGGAATCCATATGTAAGTAGGGAGGGACTATATCTTTGGGGGTCATGATCCAAAGTTCCTTTCCCATCAATGCTTCTACTCACTTTCCACTGCTAGGATCAGAATGGACAGTTTTTACTTTTTTAAAGGTCTAATATATGCAATTTATTGTACAAATTGTCAATATTTATCACCATAGATATGTCTTAGTGCAAGTGACTAATATAGTTTAGATATCTGTCCCTTCCAAATTTCATGTGGAAATTCAATCCTCATGTTGGAGGAGAGGCCTAGTGGAATATGTCTGGAACGTGGAAATGGATCCCTCATGAATGGCTTGGTGCTCTCCACATGGTAGTAAGTGAGTTTTCACTCTTAGGTCACAAAAGAGTTGGTTGTTTAAATGAGTGTTTGTTCTCTCCCTCTCTCCTCCTCCTCTCTCTCCCCATCTCTCTCTTCCTTCCCCAACCCCTCCCTCTCTCTCCCTTTTATAAATTACCCAGCCTTAGATATTCCTTTCTAGCAATGCAAAATGGACTAATAGTGACAATATGAGTAGCATACATGATATTTGTGTTAAGTGCTTGCATGTAGCATCTCCCTTCGTTTCTACAATAACCCTATGAAAAACAGGCTATCATGCTCATTTTATACTCTAAGAAATAACTTTTTAGCAAAGAAAAGTTATGTGCCTTCAAAGCCTATCCTCAATGACTATTGGACAATGGGGGCTTAAATATGGTAAGACATCCATCCTTCTTGACCTCAAAAAGTTAGTACAGCAGAAGAAATAAGATGAATTTTAAAAAATAATCACGGGGGGGGGGATTGGCAGTAATAGGAAACTGCCAGGTGGGGGGCACACCTGATCAACAAGGATACCTGCATAATGAACATTTGTATACCCAACCCTGAATTGTACCCACATCTTTAAGAAAGAAATAAATCATCATCACTGTACATTTTAAATTGTCATAACTGAGGCTTAAATAAAATTTTACAAAAGTTCAGAGGAAGAAAAATTACCTTCAGCTAGGGAGAAAAAAAGTTGGCCAATGTTTTTCATAGTAGTAGCATCTTACCTGATAGTTTAAATTACCAAAAGAAGGAAAGGCGTTTCCATCAGAGGAAATGATAAGCAAAACACAGAGGTGGAGAAGAACAAAATTCATTCAGCAAGAAAGTAGTTCTATAACTCTGGAGCTTATGGTAGGGTAGAACAGAGGACCAGAGCCTGGGTTCAGACCCCTCTCATCTCATAGATTAGTGATCTTGCACAAGCTACTAAGTCTCCCTGAAATTACCTTAACTTAACCATAAAACAAGAATGCCACTGTGTAATTTACAGGTTTGTCATCAGAATAAAATGGTATCAAGTATATAAAATATGGTTTCTCAATATTTAACCTGTGCTACTGAATGTTAGGAAGAAAAGAGGCAGAGATAAGGTTCTGAGGATGTTGTTAATAACAGACAAATTTGGGACAAAAATAAGTTTGGAGAAGGAAGATAAATAAGTCATTTGGTTTTACATATGCTGAGTGTTCAGCTCCACGGGTACTCAGTTATAGCACTTAAAATGGATTGTAATTTGTTTTCATTGTCTTTTCTTCAGAATTAGGCATTTAAAAGTGATATGGAAATGGCAGATATAGTCAGGAACACAGCATTAATAGAACTTTAAACTAAGGACAGAACTTTAAACATTTGTCTATATTTAAGAGGCAGAAAGTGGAAATGGAAGTGAACAAAAAAAACAGAGAAGTAGAAAGAAACTAAATGAATGCAGTGTCAAAAGTTTCTTTAAAAGGAAAATGAATTTCAAGACTTGACAACACATGTTGTACTTGAATGTGTATATAACATTTATATATTTTTTACAAAATATATTTATATTTTTATAAATAAAAGATTAAATTTTATCTTTGAAAGAAAATATGAAGAGATTATGACTTTCAAAAGTAAGCAAGTATTTACCAAAAGAAAAAAAATTCCACTATAACATTTTCTCTCTGTTTTCTCTGAATGAATCACAATTTGATAGGGAAAACAAGCATATAACCATCATAATTTAATAATCATTACTATTGTCTGTGAAATACAGACAATAGGGAACATCAGAAACATAGGAAAAGGAATTTAATTATTTTTGCTTAAAGAAGTGAGGCAAGGTTCAAAGATATGTAGTGAGTAGAGCTGACATTTCAGTTGAGCCTTTAGGGGGTTGTTATGTGGCTGGAGCAGGTTAAGAGGCATTGGAGGAACACAGATGTGCCTGGAGAGGGACCGCATAGAGCCTATTCAGAGCGCAGCAAGCAGGCTGGAGAGCAGAATGAGAATTAATGGAGGGGCAGAAAGAGGAATGTTCAGTGTGAGACAGGCTGCAATGGGTCTTGTAACATGTAAGTAGTTTAGACTTGAGTTTGCAGGCAAACAAATTAAGTGACAAATTCCCTAAGTGCAGCTAATAAATTGTTTTTTATATTACTAAATATCTGACAAAATAGAGGCTAAAGAAACTTAGCGACAAATCATTAGAATTACAACTAATTGAAAATCTTTTCTTTCTCATTATTATTTTTATTTGAGTTGGAGTCTTACTCTGTCGCCCAGACTGGAGTGCAGTGGCACGCTCCCGGCCACCGCAAACTTGACCAGCTGGGCTCTGGTGATCCTTCCGCCTCAGCTTTCCAAGTAGCTGGAACTACAGGCATGCGCTACCACGCCCGGCTAATTTTTTTATTTATTGTAGAGATGAGGTCTCGACAAGTTGCGCAGGTGGGTCTCGAACCCATGGGCTCAGGCAATCCACTCACTTCAGCCTCCCAAAGCACAGGATTACAGGCTGAGCCACCGAGCCCAGCTTATTCTTTTTTATCTTTTTTTAGAGATGGGGTCTCATTTCGTTGCCCAGGCTAGCCTCAAACTCCTGGCCTTTAAGCAATTCTCCTATCTCAGGCTCTGAGTAGCTGGCAGTACAGGCATGAGTCACAATTACTACCGTTAATCCTATCTCCCTTCCCCTCCCCCCCATAGTTTCCCACCACTGTCAGTCAACATTTGCAAATTTTGTTTAAAAATTTTCTAGAAAAATTTGCTGAATGTCCATGGTTAGTATTTTGAAAGCAAAACCAAATTTGGCTTCCCAAGATGAAAAAAAAATAAAAACAACAATTTGAGTGACAAACTTACAAAAATATTCTTATGTTTCTAAATGGCAGCTCAGAATCTAAAAGATGCTCAAACGTAATCACATTTATTTAATAAACAAAATGATTTCTAATGAAATACTTACTGTTGGCTTCACTAGCAACTGACCCATCACTGTGAACATACGGGACAGGCCAACTGGTGTACACACTGCAGAAATAAGATCACCAACAGAAAGAAAACGATATTTCAGAGCTAGGAGAGATAAACAACTAGTACATAAAAAATAAAACAAACTCAAAGGTTATCATTTTAAGAATGTTCTTCTCTCCAATTTAAGTTCTTAGTGTTTTTGTCAGAGGATTCTTCAACTTCATCAATAAAGAAGCTAGAGGGAACAGGGTGAGGAGATGGGTATTATTACTAATGAAAGATATATGAAGACAAAAAAATCTTAGAGGACTCAAGATTCTAACAGTATAATAATAATACTTTTGCTTAAAAGAAATTAAAGAAAACTAAGCAAAGAACAGATTGATTTTCAAATAGTAAAAGGACTGTGAACCAGGCAAGAATACTGAAAAGTGACAACTATCACCTTAAGTCCTTCAAACTATATTTATATACTTATAATATCCTTGAGATGGCTCAAGTAAAACAAAACAAATTTTAAAATAATAACCACTTTCACCATATAGAATTCCACCATTTCCATTTGAAAGCAAAATGTAGCATTGTGATGGGTGTATAGATAAGGAAAAGGGCATGTATATTTGAATGTGTGTGCCTGGTGTGTATTCATGTGAATGTGTATGAATGTATAAGTGTATGAATGTGTGTGTGTGTGTCTCTCTACAACACAGTGGAAGAGGATTTCCTTAGAGAACAATAAAAGTATCTTATTGTTTCAAAATTTATTTTGGACAATTAAAAAAAGTTAGGGCCAACTAAAAATCATCCATGTTGCTAAGGAATTTCATCAGAAAACTTTCCCATAATTTTCCAGAATACAGACAACTCTATTTTCCTATCAATATTAAGTCAGAAAAATACTTACAGAGAAGTAACAAACATCCCATCAGTGATATACAGGAATATAAATAGGGTAGGTAGAACTCCCAGAGATCTATAAAAAATGTAAATATATTTTAATAAATTTAAAACACTGCACATTGAGATAGTCTATATTAAGAAAAGAGATAGGCTAACTATAGAGGGTGCCAAAAAAGTATACACATTTTAAGAAAGGAAAACTGTATAAAATTGTAATACTCAACATATACCGATAACAAAAGATGAATACAAGTCATATTTGACTTCTGCAATTACAAGAGGTGCTCAAAGTCGTTACCATAAGCGTCCAGACACTTCTGATTACAGCAAACTAAAAGTAATACATAGATAACATCTCTTAAAATGTGTATACATTTTTTTAGCACCCCGGTATATCTTTTTTTTTTTTTTTTGAGTTGGAGTCTCACTGTCGCCCAGACTGGAGTGCAGTGGCCGCTCCCGGCCACCGCTGCCTCGACCTGCTGGGCTCCGGCGATCCTTCCGCCTCAGCCTTCCGAGTAGCCGGAATTACAGGCATGCGCTACCATGCCCGGCTGATTTTTTGATTTATGGTAGAGATGAGGTCTCGCTGCCCAGGCGGGTCTCGAACCCGCGGGCTCAGGCAATCCACTCACCTCAGCCTCCCAAAGGCGCGGGATTACAGGCTGAGCCACCGAGCCCGGCTTGGTATATCTTAATGTATACTAAACATCACAATTGCCCATTTGAGTCTACTAAACCATATAATTCTCTAAATTATTGCAATAAGAAGATCTAAAACAGAAGAACAAGAAATAACCCTTTTGCAAAACCTGTTTGGAGGGGGGGAAAGCCGCCATGGAATTAAAGAACAAAAAACAACAACAAACCACTTATATACCGAATCCTGAATTATACCCCACATCTTTAAAATAAAAAAAAGTTTAAAAAAAGCAATAAAAATCTGAAAAGCTGCTTACTCATTCTGCATTTATTAATCAAATGAACATTCATTTCTTAAACACAGCTAAAGACTTCTTAATTCTGCAAACTGACATCAAGCATTAGCTATATAAATGATTATTAGAATATTTTAAAAATTGAAAGTGTAACTATATCCCAAACTATAGTAACCAGTACAGAAACAGATTAGAACAAATAAATCCATACCATATAGAGATTCCATACTTGCAGCATCATTGTCAATGAGTGCTGAGGCTACCCACACTATCCCAAGAATTAATAATGCAAGAAGTAGCAGCATGACCACAGTCTCTAAAATGCGAGCTCGGATTCCCTGAAAAATATCATAGAGATATAATTTTAGTATTTTATTTCATTTCATAAACAATAAAGCTTCTGCCCATAGAAAGACATAACAATATCCTATGAAAGGAGAAAAATTGTATTAATTAATAGGAAAAAACATTAAATGCTTATAGTTCTTTATGTTTAGACTAACTTTTCTGTACAAAATTATGGAGAATATTATTAAGCTTGGAATAAAATACAAAAAAAAACCTACACAAAACATTTGCAGAACCATTTTTAACAAGTAATTACTTTCCTAACACTTTTCACTAACAAAGTAGATTAGCAAATTTCTATCTGTGACTCTAATCAATGGACTAGAAGGCTAATTATGGCAAACAGCCAAATAGTTTAGCGAACATTAAACCTGGTGTATGCACAATGCACCACTTTACAGGAGAGCACCAGCTACCATTAGAATGAAATCTATGTAGCTCCTTACAGACTCCGGAGCCCTCTAGTGTGCCGCTCAAGAATTGTTCATTGTAATCCAACATTATAAACTACACATATAGATTAATTTTATTAATGATATATAATTCCTTTCTTCTCACTATATAGAATCTTCATTAATACATGAGGCTGGAATATAATAAGAAATCATTATGTACAATTTTGTTTTAAATGTAAAACAAATTCTGACTTCAGGACAAAACTAGAGGCCAGACATTTAAAATTGGAAACTGCTGGACAGGGCAGGAAAAGAAACTTTCTTATACTCCTGAAAAGTCACCAAATGACTGAATCTGTACCTAGTTCATATTGATATTTGTATTGCAATGCACTATCCTGCAATACCTAACACAACAAATAAAATTATAAGTGCATCCATGTTTCCTAATAAATCATGTAATCTTTCATTGCATACTAAAAATAGTTTAGAGATATCAGTTATAAAGAACCAAAACATATACTTATTTCAATTTTGTCCTAAATATTCTTTTTTAATTTCAGGAATAGGTTACACTTTAATCACAGCACCCCAGTTCCTCAAATTCAATAGGAAGTTAGGAAATGTTCTAAAAAACCATAAAGTACTCCTAGCCCTAAATGATGACCTCAGGTGAAGTGGCTTTTCCTTACTAGTCCTTCAACATTATCATAAGCTTACCACAGGGCTTCCCTTGGCAGATTTAAAATACTTCCTCAAATCTGAGTCAGTTCATCTTAAGTGTTCACAGCAAGGGAAGCCAGTGAATCAGAATGAATTAGGCTTGTATTTTTTTTTTTTAAGTTGGAGTCTCAATTTTGTTGCCCAGGCTGGAGTGCAGAGGCATGGTCATGGCCACCGCAGTCTCGACCTACTGGACTCAGGCTATCCTTCTGCCTCAGCCTTCCAAGTAGCTGGAACTACAGGTGCACACCACCAAGCCTGGCTAGAGCATGTGTGTGTGTGTGTGTGTGTGTGAGAGAGAGCGAGAGAGAGAGAGAGAGAGCAAGAGAGAGAGAGAGAGAGCGAGAGAGAGAGAGAGAGAGAGAGAGAGAGAGAGAGTGTGTGTGTGTGTGTGTGTGTGTGATTTATTGTACAGATAAGGTCTCACCAAGTTGCCTGGGCTGGTCTCAAGCCCCCAGGCTCAGGCAATCCTCTCACCTTGGCTTCCCAAAGTGCTAGGATTACAGGCTGAGCCACTATGCCCGGCCTAAACCTGTATTTTAACACATAAGATCTCATAAGTAGTTATTATTCAAGTGACAGGAAATACAAACACTCAGAAAACACACTACTACAAAATACACTACAGCAAAACACACTACTACTTGATTGAAAAATCCTTTGATTCCTCACAACTTTCAAACTATTGAGGGTACCAAAATGTAACCACCACCTTTTAACAGTGATTTCTCTCTCTTCTTCCTTTTCTCCCTTTCTTTTTCTAAGCATTAATCTTTTTATTACACATTCAATATTTTCTGGAAAACCTATAAATAAAACGGAAGGAAGAGGTACTCTAGTGCTTACATATCACACACTCTCAGCTCTGTCTTTCCCTGCCTCCTGTCAGCCCCTAAGAAATACATGAGAAGGGCTCCTAAAACACAGAACACATGTCTTGGAAGTGTGAAACTTATGAGCTAAGTATAACAATGTCAGAAGTGTTACACTATATAAACTACACAGTGAGGGTTCTTTGGAACCATTTAAAACACCTCTGTCCAAAGAAAAGTTATAATTATTAAGTAATTATAACAATGCAACAATAAGCACAATGAATGTTATGCACTTGGATCATCCCAATACGTATAATAGAATTAAGATGATAATAAATGTTGGGAAAGCAATCACTATAAGATTTATAAACTTCCCCTGATACTTTGGTAAGAACTATTTCTTAGTAATTAAATTTGTTTTCTTCAAATATGCTGCCATGTATTGGGAGACAATGCTCCATCGGTATCTCATATGTCTGTGCATCTCATAAGTAGAGGTAGGGACAGATCTTGTTTGGGACTGTCCTCAAGGATATTTGTAACACAGACGGTCTTAGAATTCAGGGACAGCATCTCTCTCCAAAGAAGAGGACAAGTTTTTTTACTGTCTAGTATGATAATGTTCCCCTCCAAGCAAAGGTCAGACACATTTGTTTGTAGTCCATCATAAATATTGTGGGTTCCCTACGCTCATGGTTCCTCACAAGAGAAACTAGCCCACTGTGGATGCTGTTTTGTGCTGTCCCCGGGAAGATTGGGGTCAACACCAACAAGAAGCCCATGTACTAACTGTGCTGTTTATAACAAATCCTTTTGTCTCTTACCCAGAAATCTCATGAAACTGGGAGACTAACTAGTTGATTTGTAAGAAGGATAAAATCTTGGACCCTTCACAGATCTTGACAGTTTTTGGTGATGAGGACAGGAGGCTAACAGAGACATGGCCTCTGGAAAAGAAAGAACAAGGGCCCACACAGGATGGGTTAAAGCAGAGGTCTCCTCCCCATCCCCACTTCATCTATATTTACAGCTTCTCCCCATGGCTCACTTTACCACCTGAACTCCGCCTTCTGTCAGATCAGAATTGAAAAGCCTGCTTTCATTTCCAAAATCCTATCTTTGTGAAGCACGGTGTTCTGCAGTGATAGCAACCAAAAGGAAACTACAGAGTAGACTGGACATAAGCAACACACTTCGGGTGTCACTGTCTCCCAACATCCCCAGATGGGACCATCTAATTGCAGGAAAACAAGCTCAGGGCTCCCATTGATCCTGCATTATGGTGAGTTGTATAACTATTTCATTATATATTATAATGTGATAATAATAGAAATAAAGTACACAATAAATGTTATGCACTTGAATCATCCCCAAACCACTCCCCCTCCCTCTGATCTGTGAAAAATGTTCTTCCATAAAACTAGTTCCTGATGCCAAAAAGGTTGGGGACTATTGGGTTAAGAAATATGAGAAGATATCCAGGATCTAGTAGTGAATGCTCTTACTGAATAGCAGGCAAGTGGGAAAAGCAGGGATCCCAAACAGTCCTGTTGCTGATGCCTGTCTGAAGGCTACAGTGTGTGCAGGCAGTGAGGCTGAGCCCACTGGAGGCTTGGCTGTTGCTCCCTCTCCTCTAAGCAGAAGCAGGAAGGGATGCTACCATGATAGTGTAACAGTAAGCCCTATAGTATCAGCTAAAAGGTTCCATGGGTATAGCTGATGAATCAAAGAGCCCTGAAACTGAATAAGCAGTGCCACGAAAGAGGATGTAGAACTTTGTATAAATCAAAGACATTATAAGTTTGGTTGAACCACAAGCAGCCACTAGGCCACTCAAGATAAGGTGCCTTGCTTGCTTAATAATGTGGGTCATTCACTTTCTCACACTCTTTCATCCCTGTTTCCCTTCAATTCTGACTTCAGATACTTTAGAAAAAAAGATGATTGGGGCAAAGTGAAAGTTCCCCTGTCCTCAGAGGGAATGAAAGCCCTCTGAGTATGCAGGGGGACTTCAGGGAGAAGAGGGACTCAAACTTTCATGGCTATGTTGGATATGGGAGCCCAAGGCACCATCCTACCTGGTCCTTCCCAAAGGACTGTGAGGTGACTACACAGACTTGTTAGTGAACAAGGGTAATTTTTTTACTGTTTGTTTACTTATTTTTTTGAGTTGGAGTCTCAACCCTGTCACCCGGGTTGGAGTGCAGTGGCATGTTCGTGGCCACTGCAGCTTTAACCTGCTGGGCTCAGGCAATCCTTCCACATCAGCCTTCCAAGTAGCTGAAACTATAGGCACATACCACCACATCCGGCTAATTTTTTTGATTTATTGTAGAGAGGTGGTCTCACCAAGTTGCCCAGGCTGGTCTTGAACCCTAGGGCTCAGGAAATTTTCTCGCCTCAGCCTCCCAAAGTGCTGGGATTACAGACATGAGCCACCATGCCTGGTCGAGGATTTCTTTTAATATATACATATAGTTCTCCCCCAAACCTGCCCTCTTGCTGCTCCCTTCCTGACCGCTCCACTCCCTTCTCCCCTTCTGCCCCTCCTCCCCCGCTTTTACTCTTCCATCCTTTTCCTCGCTTTCTTCCTTCTCCGCCCCCCCCCGCTTCTCGCGTTTCCCTCCTGGCCTTGCCTCTCCCACTTCCCCAGTCCTGTCCCTCGCTTCTCACCACCTTCCCATCCTCTCTCTGGCTTTCCTCTCTCTCCCCCACCCCGCCCCCTCGCTTCTCCCTCCTGGGCCCTCCCACCCTCTTCTTCTCCACTTCATCCTCTCTTTGCTCCCTCCCACTTGCCCCCTTGCTTCTCCCCTCCTGCCCACCCCACTCGCTTCTCCCCCTTCCTCCCCTCCATCCTCTCTCTGGCTTCCCTGTCTCCCCGCCACACCTTCCACCTTCCTTCTCCCCTTCTGCTCCCTGCTCTTCCCCTGGCCCTAGCCCCAGCCCCTACCCACTCTCTTGAACCCCAGCCCGTCCCCTCACTTTCCTTCTAAGCCCCACCTCTCCCTTTCTACCTAGACAGAAAAAAAGAGAGATAATTATATATATAGTTATAAA